ATCTCTGCCTCCCCAGTGCTGGGATTAAAGGCGTGTGCCACCAACACCCTAAACTTAAAGGTGTGTTTGCCACCAACACCCTGAACTTAAAGGGGTGTGCTACCAACGCCCTAAACTTCTGAAAACACAAACTGTAACATCTTATAATAGATTAGCATCTTTTATAAAACAAGAACTTTACATTGTCAGGCTTTGCTTAAAAATAATTCTAAATTGAAGCTCTTTAAGTACAAACATTAATAAAAACAAACTGGTTTTAAAAAGAAATTTAAATTCATTAAAATCATTTTCCTTAGTACTTATCTCTACAAATATATATATTTGGGGTGTTTACTATTACTTCTAGATTATTAAACTGTGCCTAACTGGAAGGAATCAGTTAAATGTTCTAAAATTAAATACAAAAAGTTACTTGCTTTATTAAAACCAAGTTATTAAAACATAAGCACAGTAGACTTTCTCTCTCATGTTACCATACTATGCTAAGAACTGGGTCAGGTGCATGGGTAGTTTAGGATGCCAGAATTTAGGGGGAACTGGTGTTCCAGCTAGAACAAGTGACTGATGGGCACATCTGGTATATAGCAATCACCGTGTAAGAAATAGATGACTCCTCGTTTTACTAAGAGGCCGCGGGAAAGACTTGGCTAAGGTCCCTGAAAGTCTTTAGGGACAGCACAGGGGTCGGGCAGTGGTGGGGAGACCCTCAGGCGAGTTCAGTCGTTGCACGTGACTGGCTTAAGCCAGTTCAAGCCTCTACTACTTATGTTAGTACAAACCTAATCCAGGCGTTTCAGTCTCCAGTGGGCCGGACGGAAGCTCCTTCCGTCACGTGACCACGCCCACTACGTGATCCCGCTGCGCACGCAGGCTCAGTGGCGTTTCCGCGCGCCATTGCAGACATGGCGGGGTCTCTTGGTGGGATGTTCTCCGGGCAGCCTGCTGGTCCCCAGCCGCCTCCGCCCGGGCTCCCAGGCCAGGCCTCGCTTCTGCAAGCAGCGCCGGGGGCTCCGAGACCTTCTAACAGCACTTTGGTGGACGAGTTGGAGTCGTCTTTCGAGGTAAGCCGAGACGTGGGCGTCTTTGCGCTGCATTCACTCAGGCTGTCTCGGAGGTCCCAGCGTCCAGTGGAGGCCCCGGATCGGGGAGCCCAAGCCGCCTGCCTGAGGCTGGGTTCTGCCCGTGACCCACCGGTGTTCTCAGGTCTGCCCGGCAACCGCGGCATTTCTGGAGACAACTCCCATCAGCCTCAGAGCTCTTTCGATGCCCAGCCGGCTTTTACCTCTGCGGGTCTAGCAGGAGCTAGTCTTTCCTGGAGCGTAGCCTTTCGGCTGAGCTCCTGTGAGTTTTCTTTTCAGGTCACATATTCTACGCTTTTCCGGTTTTTCTCTTCTGTGTAGACCTTCTAGTGGCCCCGGGCACTTGCTAACCTTTTAGCTTTTCTGTTTGGGTGCTACCCCTTGACTTTTCTGGCTTCCTCTTTCTAGTTGCTCTTTGTTATGACAAACTGAGCTCTTACTGTGGGTTGAAGGTTTAGTAGAACATTTGGGTTCACCCCCTCCTCATGGATGCACAAACTAAGACCCAGAAGTAACTTCTCCAGATTCGGCCTTGGATGTGTGCCAGTGAACACTGGTACTCTGGCCTTCTACCTTTCCAGGTAAAAGCTGGCCTTTCCAGGTAAAAGCACATTCTTTTTAAAAAGTAAATCGTGTTGCGTTTATTTAATTTATGTTTTTGGTGCGCTTGTGGAGGTCAAAGGAGTAACTTGATGAAGTCAGTTCTTTACATCCATCATGTGAGTGCAAGGGATGGAACTGAGATTTGGTGGCAAACATCTTTACATGATTAGCCATCCCAACAGCCCTAAAAAAACCTAGTTTTTGTATATGAATTTTTTTTCCTTTATAAAACTGGCTGTCAATAAAGGCCCATGCTTTAAATGTTTTTCAAAGATAATTAGGGCGGGGAGGTGCACCAGGAACTAAAGTTTCAGAAGTTAGTTTTGTTTGTTTGATTGATTTTTCGAGACAGGGTTTCTAACACCGTGCAGCCTTGGCTGTCATAAAACTCACTCTGTAGACAAAGCTGGCCTCGAACTCAGAGATCTGCACATCTCTGCCTCCCATGCACTGGAATTAAAGGTGTGTGTCACCACTGCCCAGTTTGAAGTTAAGATTTTTAACTGCATGGCCTGCTGACTCTTGCAAAGCCACCCAAGCTTTGTGGGCCAATGGGTTCATGAAGTATGTACATCCTGCTCACACCCCAAAAAGTTAACTTTCACAGTACACAGAATGAGAAGTCTAATTTGTTGAGCTGTTCCAGGAATGGGAAATCCTTGTGATTGTTTCTATACATCAAATCTGCAGCCCGGCAGGATTTATCTCTTGAAAGGAGCCTCATATAGTTATGGCTTAAATCTGGATCCTAAATTTGGTTCTGCATCTTTGTGTTTTACACGGATGTTTGCTCACTGCTTAGCAGGGCTCTTTCTTCATAGCCTGTGTTCATTTGTCAGCTGCCATCCACGTTCTCTTCCACTTTTTTGTCTTTTCTGGGCTGCTTGTGCCTCTGTGGGGTACTCACATGTATAGTTCAGTTGGTACCCTTTTAGGAGATCTTCTTTGGGACTTGATTAGCCATGTGACACCATTTATTGCACACACACACACCTCTCTGTTCCTTATTAGTAAATGCCAAGTGGTATTCCAAGTACTTAGAATAGTGCTGAACCACACAGGCAGCCCTGTTAGTAGAAGACAAATAATAGTGGCTGAAAAGGATGGATAATAATGTGCTACTTATGTGAAAAGCATGCCAAGCTCCAAGTTTAGAAAGAGGAGACATATGACATCATGAGATAATGATATATATGTATTTTATGTAAGGGTCAGTCACAGTGGCTGTGATGGGATTGAGAGGAATCCAGGTGTAGAATAAAAGGGTGAGGAAACAGCAGGTGGTAGAAATAAGAATATATGGATGGTTTGAGCAAATACTGGAGTCTCAGATGCCAAACTAGTTGAGATTTATTTTACCAAGTGTTTACATTGGTCTGAGGTCTTCTCAGCACAAATTCAGAAAGTGTCCATTCATTGAATGGCCTCGGGAGAGGTTATGTCTTGCTCATAAGTAATCGCTTGACGTGTAAATAGCAATTTTATGTTTCGCTCACACAGGCTTGCTTTGCCTCCCTGGTGAGTCAGGATTATGTCAATGGAACTGATCAGGAAGAAATTCGAACTGGTAAGATTTCCCTCTTTGCAGAGTGTTTTTTCTTCAGCAAGATTCCTATTGCTGATTTGTATGTTTAGCCATGCATATCATGTATTTTAGAACTTTTCCAAATGGATGCAGATGGTCCCCATAAAAACTGCTGCCTCTGTTCAGTTCACTAGCTGACATGTTTTCTGTGTCATTATGAACCACTTAAAATGAGCTGCTCACGTACATAAAGAAAACTAGTGAGAACTGTTTATTTAAAAAACCCACAAATTATATTGATAGCTCTGATAGAGGAGTAAGTGATATCTTTTGATAGCTCTGATAGAGGAGTAAGTCTGCTGTGCCTATTCTCACCTCCAGTGTCCAATGACTTTTGGCTGTATTTTAAATATTCCATTTTAAATGAAAATTCTGGTCCTAATTGCTGTGTCTGGATTGTGTTTGTTTGGAAGACTTTGAGACTTGTGTATTGTGTAAGATCTTTGACTTCCTACTAGTTACACATGGGAACTTGAAGATGATTGTTGTTGCTGTAATTCGGATCAATCCCAAATTACGTCTATGAGAATGTGCTGTTTTAGTATTTTACCTATTTATTTAGGTGGGAGATATATACATCTAGTGTTTTCCTTAAAACTTTTGCTCTCTCTGTTTTTAAAGGTGTTGATCAGTGTATCCAGAAGTTTTTGGACATTGCAAGACAGACAGAATGTTTTTTCTTACAAAAAAGGTTGCAGTTGTCTGTCCAGAAACCAGATCAAGTTATCAAAGAGGTACAAAATTGGCTTTCCCCCCAACTTTTAGGGAGAACAAGTATCTAGATTCCACTGTGTCTTAACAAGGTATACTGTCTTCCTATGAGTCTTGTAGGAGGTCTTTATAGGTCAGAGAAGTGCTGAGGGTACCAGTGTTTATGATAATCTGGATACATGGTGGGAGTGGTCATTGGGGAAGGCAGAGCAAACAGCTCTGCCTGCTTATTTCACACCCTGGTTTTCATGGAAAAGTTGTCTTAAAGAGCAGGTTTTGCCTTCTGAAAACAGTTGGAAAACCATTAGTATAGATAAAAAGTTGATTTGGACAGGAACTGTAATTGTGTCCCCTAATTGCCTTACCTGGTACCTTGCATATAGAAAATGGTCTATGTACTTTGTTTAAGGAATCAAAAAGTAAAGATTGTATCAGGCATGGTGGTGCATGTGTTTAATCCCAGCTCTCAGGAGGCCGAGGCAGACAGACCTCTGTAAGTTCAAAGGCAGTCTGGCCTACATAGCAAGTTCTTAGGCCACCTAGGGCTATATAGTGAGATTCTGTTTTTTTAAAAAATAAAGGTAAATATTCTAGATAGGATTCCTTAAAAGGGGTGAATTATTCTCATTTGCTTTAAACTGGAATATTTGGAAATGAGTTGCCACAAGAACTAGGAAGCTTTAATGTTATTGGGTTAGTGAGATGATGATTCCTGACACCCCAGTATATAAGATCCTGAACTTGCAGCCCCAAGGCCAGTGATACTGCCTCTGAGAAATGCAAATCTGAGAGCAATGGATTTTGGCAGCTTTTGAAATAACAAGTTGACCATGACCAGTTAAGCAGAAAGGGTCTTTTCAGACATGAGACCAGCTGTTGATAACAGGAATAGTAAGAAGATTATGTTCTTACAGTCTGTTGTACTAGGTCACTTCTTGATATGAATACTTGAATAATGTGTGGAAATGGTTAAAGCTACCATGTAAGCATTTTGCATTTCTTGTTTTTTGTGTATGAGTGTTTTGCCCTCATGTTTGTATGTGCACCATGTGTGTGTGCAGTTCCCATAGAGGCTAGAAGAGTGCATTGGATCCTCTGGAACTAGAATTGTAGATGGTTGTGAGCTGCCTTGTGGGTGCTGGGAACAAAACCCAGGTCCTCTGCAAGAGCAACAAGTGCTCTTAATCACTGAGCCATCTCTCCAGACCCAAAGCCAAATTTTAATAAAGGATTTACCACCACTGTTCATATGAAGCTTTTGAAAAAGATGTACTGTTTTAACTCTGAATGAGCTGAAATTATAGAATAGTAATGTGGATTCTTCAGATAGCTGTTAACACGTTTCATATTTTCAGTATTTGGTGTCTTTCAGCAGTGGTCTTTTAGATTCTGAGATAATTTTTAATCTCAAGACTTGTGTTTTTACTTATTAAAAGAAAAACCATTAAATATTAAAATTCTTGTTGTTGGGCAGACATCTCTCATTGGCTTTTGCTGGGCAATGGTGGCGCCCAGCACATGGGAGGCAGAGGGAGGCGGATTGAATTTCTGTGAGTTTGAGGCCAGACTGGTCTAAAGATCAAGTTCCAGGGCAGCCAGGGCTACACATAGAAGCCCTGTCTCAAAAAAAAAAAAAAAAGCCAAAAAAACTCAAGATTTGCTCTGGCTGAGTCAGATAGAACAGCTTTAAAGGCTTTGGATTCCCTTGGTTTTGACTGAATTGGCTTCTTAGTGTTGCTATTCCGTGTCTTTGGTGCTGTTACAGCATTTGTAGGCAAGTGCTCTTCAGTTAACTATATCTCTACTCCTCTTCTTTTTATTTTGAGACAGTGTCTACCTGAGTTACCCAAGCTGGTCTTGAACTCACTCTGACCTTAAACTTCATGATCCTGCCCCAGCCTCCCAAGTAGCTGGGGTTACAAGCCTGCACCATCAGGGTCATTCTTAGTGCTCCTGACTAAGGAAGAGCTTTGTTCATTTATTCTTGTTTATTACTACTAACCTCATCACTTTCTCCCCCCCCCCCCCCCCCCCACCACCACCACTGTCATCTGTAGGATGTATCAGAACTAAGGAGTGAACTGCAGCGGAAAGATGCGCTGGTCCAGAAGCACTTGACAAAGCTGAGGCACTGGCAGCAGGTGCTGGAGGACATCAATGTGCAGCACAAGAAGCCAGCTGAAATCCCTCAGGGCTCCTTGGCTTACTTGGAGCAGGCATCTGCAAATATTCCTGCACCTCTGAAGCCGACCTAAGAGCACTCTGGCCTGGGATGCAGCCTATAGTCCTGCCAGACATCTTTCCTTAAAGACATGGCCTATGGAAGAACTCCATTGATAATTCGTGGGTGTTAGTTAGTTATAAGGTGGGATTTAAATATGAATCTTGGGCTGATCTTGAACCTATGATTCCCCTGCCTCAGCCTCCTTAGTTCTTTAAATCCCTAGAGTACTTTGTAAAATGCCTGAAGCTTTGATAAACCAAGTACAGTTTTGTTTTGTTTTGTTTTAACTCTTTAGGGAAGTTTGGACTGTGAGGGTGATCACACATATTCTTACTTGGCCTTTACCATTTGTTTTGACATTTTGTCATTTTTGTGGGGTTTTTTTAGTTGTGAATTTGGTAAAACCTGAAGGAAAAAATTTTTTAATAGTTTGAGAAGGCAGAAGACATAGAGTTTGGTGTCAGCCTTAATCATCCATGGTAGTATAGGCAAATCTGTGAATTTGCTGTTTCAAAACTTTTGAACTACCTCACAAGGAATCTGACTCAACAATGCCATGCTTCCAGAGTGGCACAGGGTGAGCATATTTGCAATTTTAGCCTCAAAAGAGGCTAAAATATGCTGCCAGTGTAGTGTTACAGGAGGATGCTTTCCTTAATGTTGGATTTTATCTGGGATAAGCTCTGTTTTCTGGGTCCTTCACTGTCTTGAAGGCACTCATATCAGGAACATATGCTGAGAGCACTCAGGCTGTGCAGTGATGCTCAGAGTAAGGAATGGATTCCCAGGAAGACACAGGTGGATCTGAGGCGAAAGGCGGCCTTGGATTCTCTGAGTTTTATATGCTTGCTATGTATTTTATTTTAGAGCAGAGTACCTCTCTTTACCCAAAACAAAATATTCCATACCTCTTGAACAGTTAGTGCATCTCCAGCTTGGTTTTGGTCTGGTCCATTTTGTTTTTTTGACCTCTGCTTCCTGCCTCTCCTGGGCTCAGCCATCTGGTGTGTGAAGCTCCTGAATACACCTTCACTGCATTCCCTCTCTTTGCTTATTTTATTTTATTTTATTTTATTTTATTTTTTCTGTCTTTCCTTTTTGATCAACTTTCTTAGGTTCTCCATTATGCATTATGTATTGTGGCTGTCTCTCTTACTTGCTCTATAGTATGCCCGTGAGAATTAGGCATTTCCTTGATTATGTATTACTTTATTATTTTCATGTATGTACTTGGTTGTATGATATTTAGCACATGGACCAACGAGAACCAGCCTGAGGCCATCAAGTCCCCTTAATTAGAATGTATAAGTTAAACAGTGTTGAAAAATATAGGCTGGGCATGGTGGTATGTTTGTAATCTAGCATTTGGGAGGTAGAGGAAGGAGGATCAGAGTTGAATGCTACATAGCAAGTTTTAGGCTGTTGTAGGCTACATGAGATCCTGTCTCACAAACCCCTGCTGAAAACAAACAAACAAACAAAAAAAACCACCCACTCTATGAAGCACTGACCATCAACTTTACATTTTGTGGATTTTTTGGCTAAAACCTAAATAAACATTTTAGGTTGTTTTTCAATAAAAAAAAGTGCTGATAAAAATACTGGAAACTGTTCTTGGTGTTCAGTAAAGGTATTTTAAATTAGTATATATACAAGTTATTGTTGCTGTTTTATTCAGTTCAACAGGTAAAATGATTTTCACATTTTGTCAGTTTGTCAGCATCCTTTCCATGTGTATAGTGTATCTGTGAGCTTGTTTGGCGGAAGGGAACGTGAATTTATTGTGAAGGCCAGAGATCCATGTCATTTGTCATGTCTTTCCACTTCACTTTTTGATACACAATTTCTCACTGAATATGGGGCTTCCTTTACAAGACTATCTGGCTGGCAAGCCTCGGTGATCCTCTTTCCTCTCTTACTTCCCAGCACTAGGACTGAGCTACTATGCTGTGCTTTTTATTCTGGTACAAATCTGAGCTCAGGTCTTCGACTTGCACAAAAGTAACTTACTAGCCGGGCATTGGTGGCGCATGCCTTTAATTCAGCACTCGGGAGGCAGAGGCAGGCAGATCTCTGTGAGTTCGAGGCCAGCCTGGTCCACAGAGCGAGTTCCAGGACAGGCTCCAAAACAATACAGAGAAACGCTGTCTGTAAAAACCAAAAAACAAGTTCCTGAACCAATTTCCATTATCTTTCCAGCTCTACCTTTTTTTTTTTTTTTTTTTTTTTTTTTTTTTTTTTTTTTTTTTTTTTTTTTTTTTTTTAAGATTATCTTTTCATTCATTATATATACAGTGTTCTGCCTGATGAGGGCACCAGATCTCATTATAGATGGTTGTGAGCCATCATGTGGATGCTGGGAATTGAACTCAGGACCTCTGGAAGAGCAGCCAGTGCTTTTAACCTCTGAGCCATCTCTCCAGCCATCTTTTTCTTACTACATGGTAGCTTACCGGTTGGTAAAGGAATTCAGAAACTCCAAGCCGCATGTCTCCCAGGGATTTCTTTGGCTTGCTGCTCCCACATGCAACCCAACAGATTCAAAGAAGCTTTTTTCAAACCCTTTTTTCAGTTGCCTACTTGAGTAAGACCTGCCTTTACACATGTTGTATGGGTCCCAGGCTGGTTGCTTTCTCTAGGATTAACCACTGTGGTGATTCAGCCATTTGTATTGGTCTGTTCTTGGCCCCTTGCCTGTAGCTCATTCAAATTCTGTCTTAAATATTTCTCTTGCTCTTTCCTGGTTCCTTACTCAGTCTCCAGCTCTACTTCCTCCACAACTGTATTTGTCCATCCTACAGTTGTGCTTGTGGTCATCTTTGGCCACAAATCAGATGGACATGCACTTCCTTATCTTTTGCAGCTGAACTTAGCTTTGTAACATGTCTTACTTTTTCCTCTGCACTTTTTTTTTTTTTTTTTTTTTTTTTTTTTTTTTTTGGGTTTTTCGAGATAGGGTTTCTCTGTGTAGCTTTGCAGCCTATCTTGGCACTTGCTCTGGAGACCAGGCTGGCCTCGAACTCACAGAGATCCGCCTGCCTCTGCGCTGCTTTATCCAACCACTTACATGACATTCCTGAGAGTTGAAGGCCCCCACTCAGCTTTGCATTCAAAAGTGCTGTTGCATGAAACACGGTTAAAAACTAATGTTGGTTGTGCCAGTTCTGAGTATTAGCCAGCCCAGCATGGCTTCTGCTGTCAGAGCCCTTGACTTCTTTAGTGGGCAACCTGCTCAAGAGTGGTGTCAGTCACCTTAGTCCAGGCTTCTGAACTCTCCTTGTCCAGACATCACAGACCTGAAAATGACTATAAGCACTCAGCAGGGCTTGCCCTGTTACCTGTTGTGTAAAACAGGGTCAGAAGGTCAAACTTAAGTCACCTTGAAGTGATAATAAAGTGAGATAAATCACTTAATGATCATGGGCACATTTATAGTCTAAAGTCACCGTGTCATTCAAACTGGCAGACATCCTGCTGGACTGAATGACTGCCACCTTTAACCCATTTGATGGCTGTTTTCAACATGACAGGGTCTAGACCTCTTGGCATGTCTGAGAGGAAGTTTCTAGCTTATGATGATTGAGGTGGGTGGCATCACTGTTCCAAGGGCTGGGATTCAGTACTGAATAAAGGAGAAAGCAACCTGGCCATGAGGATTCTTTGCTCTCCACTTCCCATCTGGATACAGTGTGACCAGCTAGCTGCCTCAGCTCTGTCCCCACATCTTACCTGCCGTGGTGTACTGAACCATCCAAACCTAAACAATAAAGGTTTTTGAATTCTTTTTGTCAGGCATTTGGTCTCAGCAGCAAAAGGATAATACACTGGGCAGTAGAAAAGTAGTCTATGCTGCTCCTTACCGAAGGTTACAGTGCTGGGGAAATGCCCAGATCAAAAATGCAGAACCATCTGTAGCTACTTTCTTAAGGTCCTTGATAAAAACACAGTGCTCACTGCTAATCATCAAATACTGGAACTTAGTGGGAAACAGACTGGACATTTCCTAATCCAAAAATCCAAAAAGCTCCCAAATCTAAACTTTCCCAGTACTGACCTGACACAGTAAGTGGAAACTTCCATACTTTTGAGTTAAAATGGAGATGCACTAAGGCTAGGTTGGATATGTAGGGAATATCATGTTTAGACTTGGGTCCCATTCTTAAGATAATTTGTTTATGTGCATGAGTCTGAAAATACACAAAACCGCACTTTTTTTTTTTAATCATAGTGGGGCCTGAATTCAGGTCCTTGCACATGCTAACCATATGCTATACCACTCTAAAGCACTTCTGGTCCCAAGTGTAGGGACAGAGAACACTTAACCTGTGTTAGGAGGTGAAGAGTGGGAGGTGATGAAGCAATGAAAGCTGTGTGCTCATGAATGGGACTGGGACCCTTATAAAGAGACTTAAACCAGCTTTGTTGTAATGAGGTCCCATAGTGGATATTTATAAAGAATGGTTCCTCATTCTGTTAGCACCTTCATCGTTTTCTTAGCCCTCAAGTAGTACATTTCTGTTGTCGGTAAATTTACCCCATATTGAAAATTTTAGTATAGCAGGCCAACAGTGCAGTGTCTTCAGGTTATGTTAGACACTCATCTGAGCAGGAAGGACAAAAGTTGGCACTGAAAAATAATGTGGCATTTCAAATATGGTGACAAATGTTTACATTCAAAAATCTATCGCAGGGCTAACAGTATAGGTCAGTGATATACACTTCCCTAACCAGGGGCAAGAAAAACCCTGTGCCCAAACTCTAACACTGAAAAAAAGTAATGTTTTGCTTTTTAACTTGTTTTACTTACATTTAAAAAAATGATCTGATTATCTACCTTTTATTTGTAGACAATCTGATTGAACTTAATGTAAATTTATTTCAAAGCTCTATCTTCATCTAATTATACAAGGCTTAGTCATTTATATTGCCCAGTTTAGAATTTTATTGAAAGAGAAAATATTTGACAATGCATAGAATTGACATCTGTTGATAAGCCACTTGCTGGGCCAGCACCAGAGAGAAAAAAAATCTACCCACTAAAAGTGGTGTCAGATCTGCTCTGTTGGAGGGTAAGACATGGTGGACAAAGTGAAAGTTCAGCACCACGGGCAGTTCCTGCTCTCCTGGGAGTCCGTGCAGTGGAGGAAGTCATATATCTGAGGCAGGAGACCCAGATGCAAAGGATAGGGGTCCAACAAACTTTGACATCAGAGAACAGTCTAGAATCCTTCACAAAAGATGGATGCACAATGGTCTCTGAAGCTGAGATGTGTGGCGGGTGAAGCACAGTTGTTCACTGAGCATTCCAATCCAGGCTGATGGCTGTACCTAGAGTATGCTGCGTAATCTTGCAAAGTCCCTTTAGAGGTAGATGTTGTTCCTCAGAAATTTGCAGCCTACGCTAGACCTTGGAGGTCAAAACATGCAGTCCAAGCATGCTGCAGTCCATTCCTGGTAGGTGTGCTTATGTTTGTTTTTTTCTTAATTGGCTTTATTCTATTCCTCTTCATACTGAGGTTAGATGTGCCTTTTGAAATTATCATTTTATATATATGGAAATATATAGCATAATTATTTGAGTGGAGATGACCCAGAAAAAATGAGAATACTTTTAAAGCAGGCCATGGCAGCCACAAGTCTGATATTTCACCAAGTGGAGTGTGACATTACAGGCACTAGAAATACAATGGGTAGTTTGGTCATCAGAGACTAATAGCATTTTCCAAGGGATACTTTATAGTAACTGGCTTGTTTCATCTTTAACTATAAGAGTTGTAAACTAAGCAGGTGTCACAATGAAACTGGAATGTTAATGACCATACTTTGTTTTAGCTATCACATGTAAGTCACTACCAGCTTGTTACCTGGTTGGGTGATTTTAATTCATTCCTTCAGATGGTTGAAATGATTCCAATATACTACTTGGAACAAGATCCTAAGAACCAGTTTAGAATGAAAAGTACTTGGTAAACCACTCCTGATGTGGAGAGCCTTGCTTCTGTGGGGCCTCTTTGGCTTGGCTTGGTTCTCCATCTTGTGCCCTAAAGTCAAAGAAAAATTTACATGATTTTGAAACTTATCCAGTAAAAAATAACACCCTATCATTGTTCCAGGAGAAACTAACTGCTTGTTTTCCCTTCAAAAGATACTAGAACATGACCAACTTTGAAGCATCTGGAAATGAGTTCTGAAGGATGAGTGGAAGGGAGTGTCTAGTTCTTATTTTAACCACCAACTGCTCTCCATTCTTTCACTGATGACCTGATGGTTATGGTACTAAAGAGATACATTTTGTAGCATTCATTATCATATTTGGGGCACATATCAAACAGCCAAATTTTAAAAACTTAAAAAAAATAGTTAATCAAAACAGTGTTCCAACATGAGTCTCATGCAGAATATTAGTTGTGAACATCTTAATGAGGCTATGAAATTTGCCTAATCAAAAAGAAGAAAGAGCAGGCAATGAAACCGTCACCTGGCTAAATAGTCTTTGTGAAGCTTCATATAAAACAGCAGCCTGCCAAGCCTGAGGACCCACATTTGATTCCCGGAACCCACATGGTAAAAGAGAGAACAGACTTCCAAAAGTTGTCCTCTGATATTAA